TGCAGCCAGCATCAATTCAATGAAAAAAATGAAAAGAAAATATTGATCCTTCTGAAATGAAAGCGCAGAAAAAAAGAAAAGCTGCAGCAAAGCCACATAGTCTGAAGAAAAATATTTCAGACAACAAGCCAAATTAAATAAATAGATTTAATCGCAAACAAAAAAAAAAAAAAAAATTATTTCATAAATATAAATTATAAAATGTAATTGTTTAAAGAGTGCTGGAGGCACCCTATTAAAAGAAAAAATATTGTAATTGCTTGCAACAAATAATAAGTTTTTAATTTGTAAAAAAAATAGGTGTACTTCGAAAAAATAAAATTAGTATTATATGTATTAACATCGGATTCCGGGCGTGTACGTAATTTCCGGAGTACCAACCTGGTACACATTTTTCAGATGCATATTTCATCTATAGCACATTTTTTTGATAAGTTATATATTTGGCATTACATTTTTCAACAATCCTTTTTTTAGACAAGACATTTCCCTGCCATTAATTTCCTGATATATAATTCTAACCAATGCTAACCTAATATTATATATTACTAGAACAATGAGTAAGAATTTTTACAGTAACTCTTGGTAGAAGCTACAATAATTTGCATAAAACTATCTTAGCTTTAACTGCATATTGCATCACCAGAATAGCAAGTTTGATAACACTTTAATTATATATTGTGCCATTGAAATAGCATAAATTTTTATACTAATTCATAAAAAAAAAAACATAATTTTAATGCAAACTAACTCAACCTTATTATATATTGTGTGTTACTAAAATGGCTTATTGTAAAAATCATATTATTTAGTGCAAATTAACTTAATATTAATCATACACAATATGTCAACAAAATAGCAAGTGAGTTTTGTAATAAAATTTTTATAGTAGCTTATGGTAAAATTAACCAAACCTTACCAAATAAAGTGAAGTCAGGTATTATAGTATGGTGTATCATTGATATACTTACATTTTTTTATGATATCTAGATATTCACTGATTAGAAATAATTTTAGTATTATTCAGTTCATTTTACTAAGACAAATCAAATAATGCAAAAATTAATCAATTCCATTTAAAAATTAATGGAAGATATTGTAGTTGATATGCTTTTTTCCTTTTCTTCTAATTAAGTAATTTTGAGAAAAAAATCAACAAAGTAACAATACATACAATATTAAATATTGATATGCATATTATACCATAATACCACAACCTTACAAAGCATTGCATTTTTTTGATGATTTTTGAAAGTTTTTAAAATATCAAGTTTTTTTTTTTTTGCTAGATAGTAGGTCAAATGTTATATCGTTATTTTGATAAATATTGTAAATAAATATGCTTTTTACAAAAATTTTTACTATTAGCAATTCTTAAGTGTACCATAATATCTGGCTTTACTTTACTATATGTCAACAGAATAAATAAGTTATATAACAATATTTTTTGGTAGAAATTGCAATAATTTCAATGCAAACTAGCTACATACTATGTGTTACTAGAATTTTAAATTAGTTCTATAACAGAATTTCTTATAGTAGTGTACAATATAGCTCAACCACATAATTTCTGTATTTATCAGAATTTTTTATAGTAACGCAAAATAGAATCAGATACAAACCTAACTTTAACCAATTCTGTGTGTTAACAGGATAACAAGTTCTATAACAGTATTTTTTACAGTAGCATATAATAGAGTTTATGCTAATTCTAATACAAATTAACACAATCTTAATTACATAATGTGTGTCACCAGGATAGTGGTAAGTTTTATAATAATTTATTTATATATTAATGCATGATAATTTCAGTTACAATAATACCATGTGTTACAATAATAAGGAGGTGGGTGGCGCTTCGCGCCACCTGTTACGCTAGTAATATATACAATATCGATATAATATAATGTTGCAATATTGCAACATATAACCGTACAATATTATATAATATAATTAATTTTAAATTATTGGCTTAAATCGAAAAACCATTATGTTATATATTTGTTCATATTGATATATAATTTACTTAGAATATGACTACTCAGTGACATATGATTTGCAATTTTTTTGTATTTTGCGCCTAACTTTTAACCTTGTTACTCTGAGGTCTAACACCTTTTTGTAGAAAAAAGGGTATTCGCAAAGGTCACAAATAAGTTTGAAAAGATGCAAAGACTGCGACTTTGCAGCAGGCATCTCTATACTATCACTATTTGACTCGAGGTTTTGAAAATTGGTGAAGATTAAGTGCAGAATTTCATGTTTTATTGCATTTACTGCAGTGTCTAATCAGTTATGAGATTTTGTTGACGTACACTAAAATGTCCTATAATCCATAATAATATATATATATATATATATTTTCACGATCTTTGTTATTAAAACTTTAGCGTGAATTCAAAAAAAAAATAAAAATAATAAAATAAAAATCTCAAAAAATACACACACAAGCAATACAGTAATATGGATCAAAAAATAATTTAAAAGAATGACTTTTACTAAAACGCACCTATGGTGTTTTACACCATAGGTCCCGTTTCTCAAAAACGTACTAAGTAAACAGGATCGGGTCCTCTAAGTAAAAATGTTCAGGACCCCCAAAAACCTCACGAGAACTGAGTTCGGGCCCTATCGGGCCCTTATATTAGCTCTATATTATATTATATAAAAAAAAATAACTCTTAATTTTCTAAACCTAACCCTAAATTTTACTAGAAGCAATTATATATAGGTGCTAAAACACCATAGGTGCGTTTTATAATAATTCTAAAAGAATTATACCTTATTTTAGATTTAGTTTTGCACGCAAATCCTTATCAATTTATTGTATATTTATAAACTCATTACTTATTTTAAATACTATGCAATAAAATACAAATAATCAATTTACGAATTGTAATCTCCTATTTTTGTAAAATAGATCTAAAATCTAAAACAGTAATTACAATAACTAAAAAATTTTTATGACTTTCTATTCAGTTGAAATATTTCATATTCCTCCGCTGAAAACCATGACGATGTAGCATTATATTTATCTGCACTTCTAATTTTTATTGATCCATATACATATGTAGGAGTAAGCCAACATCTTTTATCTTGATTAAAATTCTCAGACATAGCAAGATCACATCCAGAACCGAAAAGTGGTCCGTGAGTATTATAACAAATAATTGCATGTGCTGAACTATGCACACGACTTAAAATAGAATTTTGAATGGTACCATTTTTCAAAGAAAAAATAAAACTATCATCACATTCCTTAAATTTACCATGATCTTGTTTATTCCAACCGATAGGGTTATATCCACCAAGAATTTCATCAGTACCTTTAACTTTTATAACTACAACAAGACGTGTTTGCTGATCACATAAATTCCAAAATATATCCTTGGTAAAACCTTCTCTGGATCCGCGAAGAAGTAATTTAAATTCGTATGGGTTATTCATTACTGAATACACATTATCACTCTTATCAACCCATGAAGCAATTTCCGCAGCGTGCTCTTCGTTAATAACTGATGAAAATGGTTCTCTAATCGGTAATGTTGGTATTAAAATTGTACGAGGCGGAAGAACAGTAGATGATATTGGTTGGTTGGCCATATATTTTACTATATCTTTCCAAAGTTTTTTATCAAGAATTTGTTCATATGACTGCACATTATTAGCAATATCAGCATTAGACATTTGAAAATAACGGATAAGAGGTAAACAATTTTGTAAAGTAGTCTTTAAAGCTAGAAAATTCTCATTGGACCAATCTTCTGGATCAGATGGTAGGCCGGGATTTTGAGCAATTCCCCATTCTATAACACGATCCCAAATTTTCACTTCTTCCATTTGTAAATCATCTCGACTAATAATCGAGATTAATGCATTTTCTTGAAGCGAGATAAAGTCTTCAGAGTCAAAAACCTTATTAGGATATTTTGCTACAATATCATTACACCACTTTTGTAATTCATGAAGCTTATTAATTTCAAAACTTCTTTGATAAACATTACTAAAATGTAAACGAAGCCAATGAGCTTCCTTTTCAATTAAGTGAGTTTGAAGGTACTGGGCTAATTCTTCTAAAAGAAATTCATAGGCAATAAACATAAGATCAAAAATAAATGAAGTTTCAAGATTTTCAAGTAAAATTATTTTTCCATAAATATATATTTGTGTAAATTTATATACCGTATCCTGCCGTAAATAAGCATCCATCTTCATATCCAAGTTTCTCAAGATCTAGTGACTGGATCTATATAATTTTGGTACTATTCGAATCAGTTTATCAAAACAATTCGAAAGATACTAAAATTATACAGATCCGACCACTATATCATGAGAAACTTGGGTATGAAAATTGCAAAAAGTGGGTGCTTATTCACAGCAGGATACGGTATATTCGATTTCTTGCAAATACTAAAATATAGATAATATATAGAATAACTTACTTGATAATAATTTCAAATTGTTGAATAGTAACATTTTTTAAATTAATTGTTTTAATATTATTCTTATCTTTATCGATATTCATCAATTCTTTATAAAAATATAAAGGTCTAGATTTCAAAATTGCTAAATGTGCCTGAAATGTCTTGGTGTTTTGAGATTCACTGACAATAATGTTTGTATTAAAATCTTCTTTATTCTCAAGAAGCTTAAGATAATTGCTCGAAATTTCTTCAAAGAATTTTATTGTCATCTTAAAAAAATTTTGATTATTGAGTACAGTAAGAATAATTAATAACATAACAGTTATACAAAAGATTTAAATGTGCAAAAAAAATATTATTTATGTACAATATACAAAAATTAATAGTTAATTTTGTTTACATATTAATGTTTTTCAATTTTTGCTATGAGCGTTAGTTTATGGCGACCCGTGATCGATTTTTATTGGTCGATTATATCATTATTTCTTTATCTCTCGCACTTAGTTTATTTACAAAATCGGATTTTGTATTATCCGTGTAAATACTTTTGCCATATCTGCAGATTTTTTTCAACTCTTATCCCATGTTAGTAACAATAACCGAGCAAATAATTTCCGTTTGGTTCGTTTGTACCTAAAATATTAGGATAGAATTTAGCGTAGGCAAATTAATATAAGTTTTTTTTTTTTTTTTTTTTTTTTTTTTTTATTAATTTGAGATTTCGTATGATTAGTGCGTGATCAGTATATAAAAAAATTATTGTTAAGCACATTGTTCGATCAATATTATATTACACTTGCAACGTCAATTATTTCGACGATGTCTTAATAATTATAATAAAGTTCAAAGTATGTACTGTATAACGTTTATTTAATAAAGTGATGGTAATTCATCAACACAGTCATACCTCTGAAATTGTTTGAGAACTCGACCCACAGAAGACCTGTTAACACCCAAACGTTTAGCAATTACTCTAACTTAAGTTTTCTAGGTTCTTTCAATTATTTTCCAACGAATATGTCTGAAAAATCTTAGTAACAAATACTTATGTACAGTATTATGCATTTATATAGCACCGAGATAAATAGCTTATCGAATTCGGCCGAATAGACTTCGGCAAATTTTTTTAGGGTGTCCCAGAATTTATGAAAACAGCTGTAATTTACCGACAAGTTCATTTCGTAGATAGCATATTTCACCGACAGCTCATTTCACAGACGAAGTAATTCTAGTCATTGTCATTAGGGTTAGGTTTAGAATTAGAGTTAAGGTTAGTGCGGTCTATAAAAAAAACTTGTCTGTAAAATAAGCTGTTGATGAAATATACTGCCTATGAAATGAACTTGTCGGTAAATTAATCGTCTGTAAAATAAGCTTGTCGGTGAAATGAGTGTCGATGAAATGTAATGTCTTTGAAGTGATTGTCGATGAAATAATACATCCTAATATCTTAAAGTATATGAACTAACTCAAAATACAGACACAGATGAATATTTGAAGAATTTGATTCTAAGAGAGATAGTCATAATGGAAAATGTGCATATTGTAAACGATATAACACTTCTAAAACCTGGTGACCCTCAAAAAACAGTTCAAGGATGGACGAGTGGAAATAAGAACATTGATGATTGTATTAAAGAATTTCAGCTTAAAGCTACAAAATATGAGAATGTGATCGAATGGATTCCTTTCAATAGATTGGTTAAAATTCAAAAGGCTGAAGAATTTTCAGCGATCTGGTTAGATGGTATTCGATCAATCTCAGGCATGATGAAAAACAGTCACGCACCCCGCCATGTATAGCTGCATTCAACATTGCCTAGTTCTCAGAATTCATTGGGTTTTTTAAGAGAAGTAAGTTTATATAACTTGTTGTGTATAGCTTGCAACTTGTACTTATAATCCTGTTTATATATTTATACATTTATAAATTTATAAGTTTAAAACTCATGCAACTAGAAGGTGATAATTAGTCACACAAATAGGTATATGGTAGTATTTGATGAATTTATTTCAAAAAGAGATGTGTATAATTGAAAGTGTACGTAATAAGTATAATACTTCTCTCGCTTGGTGCCAGACATGTGACTCTCGGAGAGTAAGTGGAGATAAGAATGTCGATGAATACATTATAGAATTTCAATATAAAGCCACAAAACATGAAATTATGATTGAATGGATCCCTTATAGTAGGTTAAATAACATTCAAATACTGTACTCACATACTAAATATAAATACGTAAATTTTCATGAACTTGGGTAGCTTAATTAGAGCTATTATTTACCGAATATCCTGGTTCAAGCTATATTGTGATGTAGATGTGGATTCAAAAGCCATGATTGGAACATGTTTAGGCCACAAGGTCAATTTGGCAATTCTGCTAGCGGGTGACCTGGGTGATACCTACTCGGGTCGGAACACTATGTACAGCTGTAACAGCTTCCTTTAATTTTTTTATCTGAGATAATTAACTTTTTAAACATAGCACATTTTAAAAGCGTTAAATATACTTTTTGAATTAGGATTATAATTTATTTAATTTTGAGGCGTATTCTTATAACAACAAAATTCTTTTGTCAAACCCAAAAATTTTTTCGAACCTTCAATAAAAGCAAATCAAACGAACGACTATTTCATTGTAATTTACTATAATGTGTAAATAATTTGAATGATGTCTTAAATCACGTTGGATTTTAATTTATAAAAATAAATAGCGAGAACGAATGTTTTTTTTTCTCTCTCTCTCTTATAAAAAATAGTAATAAATATTTATGCATAAACATGCATGAGAATTTTAATCATCATTGTCTTAATCACTATCATCATAATCGTCATCTCTAGTAGAGTTTGGCACATTCGCCTCGTTCGCCTCAATTTCTTCCAATTGTTCATAAACTCTATTCTCATCATGTTCTCTCAATCTCACGTAATCAATCCACTTTTAAAGAAATGATTAGTTTAAGCAAATTAATATATAAAAATGTCAAATGTAAACATGTAACAATAAATAAATCGTATACATACCAAGCCAGATTTTAAGAATCCTTCATGATTATAAATTTTAAGATAAACGTCATGGTATACCAATTTACCATCTACTACTTTTCGTTCAGGTACAACAATTTTATAAGGTAGACAATACTCGACCCATTTATTTTTGCGAGCGAGATTAGTATAAATTTCATGTTGCGGTGTATGTTCATGTCTTTGTTCATCATGAATGGCTGTTTCAGCATCAATTTCATCCTCTAACTGTTTATGGATCAAATAATGTTAAGTTGAATGTTATGTATATACGATTACATAAAAAAAAATAAAAATTTGATAATATCAATACTTGCTCTCTCGATAACAGTTTTGCTGAAGTTTAGGCTTCGAACGTTGTTCGTTGATTACGTCGTCGATAATTACCTTCTTCCATTTTTAATCGCCATACAACATCGTACGTGCCAGGTAGAACGGATTTTAGATTAGACGAAACCTTTAGGGGAAAAAAAATTGTTTTTTTTTTTTCTTTTAGAATGATTATAAATGTTTTAAAAATTGCTTTGTCACAAGAAAAATTTATGCATACGTCAAACCACCAAACGTATTCTAAATAAACAGCACTTCCAAATTCACTATTTATAGGTAATACACGTAAGCGAATGGCAATAAAGAATGTAAAGAATGTCAAATAAAGACTTGCACACCTTTGTGAATCTTCGATGGTTCGCCAATGATGACGAGTTCCTCCTCCATCTTGACAATCCAACCATGTAACGCAACGTTCTTTGGCAATAAAATTAATATGTTTTGCTGTATATAGCAATTGTTGGAAATAATAGAAGTTATAAATTCAAAATAAGTTTACATGATAATGCGGTATATACTTGTTATTGGATACATTGCGATCAATAACTTATTACAAGTGAATATAAGATATAAAATAGGTCTAAATTTATAACCTGAGCCTGTTATCAATTAGAAATGTAAACGGCTCGACCCGACTTGTATAATGTAAAAACTAATTTAGACTGAACGAGCCAGTTGCATCTCTACTATCAATTTAATTTGCTTGTTGTTTTATGAGTGATAACAGCCTTATAGTATTACAATAACGATAATATAATACAAGTTTGCACCAAATTATTACAAACTCCGACTTAACGTTAACGTTATACACACATACATAAATGGTTGTTTATCTTAATTGATGTATATGTTGTACTGTACACCCAAACTGGAATTTGTCCTGGATGGGAATTTTGATAATTCCGAATTCTGATTACGGTCAAAATTCCTATCTGGGAAATCCTAATCTTGGGTATATATAACATGTATATCGAAGACGTAGAGTATCAATATGATATCAATATGAACAGTAAATAAACATGACTAATTACTTACATAGTCTCTTATAAAGTCTTTTCCATTCACTGTGTTCACTAACGGTCACTTGCTGTTCATTGCTGTTACTTTCTACTAAAAGATTATTCAAAACTAGATTTGCTACAAGACAGAATTATATAAAAATAAAATCAACAAAATCATAAATTTTAAATTATTTTTTTACCCAAGCTAGAAACGCTAGAAACATAGTTCCAAAAATACTTGGTCCAGATTGATTGTCTGAATTGTTCGTTTCTTGAACTTTAGAAGTAGCCTCATCCGCGATCATGTTTTTTTGTTCCTCAGAAATACGACTTGCAGGGAATTGATTAATACAAATTGATTGCCAAACATAATCATCTTAGGTGAATGACAAAAGGTTTTTGTTGACCTGAGATTAATAAGAAAACATAGAAATGCGGAAATGTAAATATTCTAGGTAAATGGAGACCGACAACATTTTCGGAGCATATTGGTTGTTTTTATCTGATCAACCAATCAAATCCACAATTTGTGGACAAACACACTATCTTAGCAGAAACCTTTGAATTTTACCATTTATGATTATCATATGATAGTTATATAACTATTATATGATAAAAATATGAT